GTCAACAGTAAGCTAGTAATAGTTAAATTTTTGGGGTATCAAAAAGTTATACATGGATTTTTGACTGCATGGGGGGGTGGGCAACCCTAACCCTTATGTTGTTCAAGTGTCAACTATATAGATATTTATTATAGGAACTGGCTATGCAGTTATGGACATCAGGAAGTGCTACAATCTGCTCTCTGCAAGCTGGAGAACCAGGAAAGCCAGTGGTGGTGTTCGGTCTGAGTCTGGTCTGACAGTTTAAGTCCTAATCTGAGTTCCAAAACTTGAGAACCAGGAGTGCAGATGTCTGAAGGCAGGAGAAGATAGATGTCTCTGCTCAAGCAGGAAGAGAGAGTGAATTCGCTCTTCTGCTTTTTAGTTTTATTTGGGCCCTCAGTTGGTTGAATAATGCCCCTGACATTGGGAGGGCCCACTCCTTTACTCAGCTGAAATGCCAATGTCCTCCAGAAACACTCTCACAGACACAACCAGAAATAATGTGTTGCCAGCTATCTGGGGCTCCCTTAGCCCAGTCTAGTTGACACGTAAAGTTAACCATCACAGACTATTAAATCTGCTCCATCCAATACATGAAATACTAGCCATATGTGGGGACCAAATACTTCAAGTGTGCCTAAGTGTGACTGAGGAACTTAATTTTAAATTTTATTTAATTTCAATTTGAATAGACACATGTAGGTTAGGGCCACTATAATGGGCAATGCAGCTCTAGAGAACCTAATTTAGGATGAGGAGGGTGGGTCAAGAAAGGTCTCTCAGAGGCAAAACATGTAAATAGAGGCTTGGGGGATGAAGTGGGGGAGGGGGATGCTGAGGGTGTGAAATTAGGGCACAAGAAATGGGAAGGACATTCCAGAGAGAAGCAACAGCATGTGAGCATCCCCAAAAGTAGAGAAGCTTAAAAAGAGGGATTTTCAATGTTGAGGAACTGGGTTCTTTTTCAGAAATTCTATGATATAATCACTTTCTACTCATTCATGGTTTATCTCATCTCAGTATTTTAATTTGGGTTACATTAAGTAACATGTTCTGGCGGGACATGAACATTGGCACCAATCCTCAAATATCCCAACTTTCCTAGTGAAGGTTCATTCCCTAAAGATTTGGCTTTTTATTTAAGAGCCTCAATTTCCTCAAATGGTACCACATTTTATGGGTAACAGGTTTTATAAGTGTAGCAACTGCTATGTAAACAAGGATTTTCTAATTTACTTTTACTATTATTTTTATATTTATTATTTACTATTTATATACATTTATATTTGTTTTATATAGATAATTTTATATACTATATATTTTTGTGTATTAATATTTATTACTATTTTAGAGCCTCAAGGGTTGGCTGATTTCAGTTTACTCACTCTCTCCATATATGTATTTATATTTTTTTAAATTTCATATACTTTCTGCTTGACTATTATATAGTAAATAAGTGTAGGGATTCACTTTCCTATACATATCAAAAGTACTGGGCATCCCTTGATACTTTGATACTTTGGCTCAAAAAGATCAATAAAGGCAGACAGTGAGTGAACTCTTGCAACTTTTAATTATAATTCAATATCTTTTTTGTATTTTATTTAGATTCATCATCCCCCAAGGACTTGAAAGTTGTGGATCTGGTTATATAAATATAATTCCCATTGTGCTATTCTTTATGTTACTTGAATTCAGTACTGGGCCCTAATTTCTACTTCTCAGCAAGAAAAGATTTATAGTCCAAGAATGGTTAAGTATCATTTTTTGGTAGACTAATTATCACTTCAAAGCTCTTTTAATTAAAAAGGAATCTGATCCCATTTTAAACTCCTTTCCCACAGATTTACTCATTTCTCACCTTGACATCTTTTGCAGATTTTATAATGTAAACCAATTTTTCTTGAAAAGCACTTCTCTATTTTTCCATTTAGTTTGAAAGTTTATTGATTGTGTGGACTAGACAAATATTCTTGAATATATTTATTATGACTTACTAAAAAGTAAGATCTAAGGTGTAGCACACACTCTGGGAAACTAGAAGTTTTGAACTGTAACCTGGTTTGTCACCTATAGTGTGACTCAGTAAACTGCTCTACTAGAAAGATGCTATTCCTAATGTTCAAGTGGATTCTTCAAACATCTTGTGTATTTTCATGATTTATTTTTAAGATTATTAAAAAGTATTAATAATCTGGATCCAACCAAGAAAGTCTGGGATGTATGAACCTGGACCTCTATTACTGTAAGGGCACAAGTACTCATGCCAGGCTAAGGGACTGCTAAGTAGAGGGTACTAACTAGCATCTACCCCCTTCTTAAGCAGCTTGATACCCCTCAAGGCATTATTTAAACAGTCTCTGTGCCTGTTAATGAACAATCACTGGCTGTAGTCAGAGATTAGAGCCTGAGTAGTTAAGAATGTAAAAGTCATCCAAATGCACATATCAAGTAATGTTGTAAAAAGTTAACAAAGCACAAAAATGAGAAAAATTGGAAAATAAACTAGGTAACATAAATTGAATGTTAAGAAAGCCCTAGTGAGAGATGCATAAGACAATGCTCCTTACAGAGTGGAAAGAGAGGGACCTCCTGGGAATTGGGGATCTTCTGGGAATTAAGCCAGTTATGACCTGGACCAAGTATCAGTGTTTCACTTAAACTTAAAGCAGCGACTTTGGCACCAAGCATGGCCAGATTTGATTCCAGTCTCCTCTTCTTACTGAGCACCCTTGACAAACAACTTAACTTTTATGAATCTTAACTTTCTCTTCTAAAAAATGAGGATAATTATACCTGCTTCACAGGCTAATGAAAGGATTAAGTGAGGAGGATTAATGAAAGGATTAGATAAAGAATAGTTCTTCTCCCATTCTTCTAACAACATTAACACTCATTCCTTAGAGGTGGTTTGCAGGGGTAGAGTGCTGGGACTCAAATCGAGTTCAAGTCGTAGCTCTCTCACTTATCAGCTCTGTGACATTAAACAAGTTTCTTGACCTCTCTGTGCTTCAGTTTCACCATATGTAATATGAGGCCATTAATAGTATTTTCCCTACAGGGTTATTCTGAGGATTAAAGGGGTTTATGTAAAGTACTTAGGAGAGCACTTAACACATAGTAAATGTTTTTAAAGTGTTAGCTGAAAACGTTCAATAATTTTGGATTCTTCCTAGAAGTGATTCATTTTGTCTTGTTATATTCACATAACTGGACAGGAAGACGTGGTAACAATGTTGCCAGCTGAGGGCGAGTTTCTTGTAATTGTGTTTGGGGCAGCATTTCCTGTAAACAGGTGGTAGTGGTAGCTTTCCTTCTAGCTGGCGTAGATGGTTGCAGGGCCAGGATGGGTGAGAGCTTTTGGAGCCGGCAGCCAGGCTGCCTTCCAACCACCCTTTGTTACTGTAATTGGACAGAAGTTAACATTTTTGTTTCCTCCCTTCTGAAATAGGGACATTGTTTGCTCCTCTGAGTGGAGTGAGGATTAAATTTAGGTAATTTACCTTCAGTTCATATAGCCTGCACGCAGCACGGAGCTGCAGTGGAAACGATTATTATATCAAATATACATAGCAGTCGTGCCCTCCGGGATTTTGAAAAGAGGAAAACGGAAGGCAGCTGGAAGTGGGCCCTTTCTTTCTACCTGTGTGAACTTGGCCTGGGTAAGAGGAAAAAAAAACCATCTCTTGCAATGAAGTGACTACAGAGGCCTCCCTTTGGACCCTGCCTTTGAACCCCCCACCTACCCCCTAAGCCACCCCCCCACACACAGTGCAGGCAAAGACACCATCCTTTCCAATTTTGTAATCTCATTTCTGTAGTGCGGGTTTATTTGGGCTTGGTAGTAGGCCAAGAATGGGTGGGGAAAGGCATTAAAACCAGGCAACCCCGCTCCCCCATCTCTGGATGCCGCAGGGCTCGTGCCAGCCGTCCTCGGGTAAAAACGTGCTTTTTATTTCACTTCCCCGCAGTCTCATATGCAGCAGCTCATTACCACCCGCTTCAATCACCGCTGCCAGCATCTCCCCAGAACGTTTTTCCCTTCCCTCATTTCAGGGACACTGGTCGTAGCTGACATTAAAAGGAAATAAACAGATTTAAAATACTACAACCATCTCCGCCTGAAGAACTCAACATCAGTGCATACAGAACAGTCCAGCGACGAGCGCCTGTCGGGGCTCAGCTCCGCCAGCCCTTCCTGCCACACAATTCCCCACCCGAGCAGCACAAATCACCATTTCCAGGCACTACTCGAGCTGCCAATTCCACTTTCGTTTAATCTCATTTAAAATCCGGCTACAGATGAGGCTCTTTCGCTGCGTCGAGGAGCCGGGCAGGGGTCAGCCAGAGGGGCGAGGCCTGGACGGGAAGGGAGCTCCGGAGCCCTTCGCGGATCGGGTGGCGGGGAAGCAGTGCAGGCCGCCCGGCTGAGAGGCGGACGAGCCCCGAGGGGCGCGGGGCGCAGCCGCGCAGACAAAGAAGCCGGCGCCGCGCCGGTCCCCGCCGCCCCTCTCCTTCCCATTCGCCTTCTCTAGGAAAAAGAGGGAAATCAGAGGGCCACAGGGGATGCTCTTCCCCTTTTGCTCGCGCCGACAGCCGGGCGGGAGGTTCCCTCTCTCCGGGCGTTCACACCCCTCCCTGTAGGTTCGCGGCCCCCGCCGTCCCCCCACCCTCGCGTCTCTCGGAGCCTTTCCGGGGGAGGCCCGGGCTCCCGCGCCGGGCCCCGGAGAGGCGTGCGCCCCGGCCGCGCGAGGTGCGGGCGAGCGAGCCCGAGAGGGCGGGGGCCGGCGGGCGCGCGGGGGCGGGGGAGCGGCCGCGACACGTGTGGCGGCGGCGGCGGCGGCGGCGGGGGGGTCTCGGCGCCCGGGGCTTTAAGAAGGTGTGGAGGGGGGCGGGCGCTTTCCCAGGCCTGGCCGAGGGGCGTCGCGCAGAGGCGGCGGCGCACGGCGGCGGCGGACCACGCGCTCTCGGCGCCCGCAGCCCGGCTCCGCTCTCCCGCGGCCCAAAGAAACTTTGGGAGCCGCCGTCTCTCGCGGAACTTCCCGGCGGGGCTGCGCTCCGAGCGCTCTCCACTTCGCTGCGCGCGGCTCGTCGGTCCCGGCGCCTCCCAAACTGAATGAGCGAGCGGCGCTCGGGGCGCGCGGCGGCGGCATGGAGCGCGGTTGCTGGGCCCCGCGGACTGTCCTCCTGGCGCTGGTGCTTGGGGCGACGCTGAGGGCGCGCGCGGCGGCGGGCTACTACCCCCGCTTCTCGCCCTTCTTTTTCCTGTGCACCCACCACGGGGAGCTGGAAGGGGATGGGGAGCAGGGCGAGGTGCTCATTTCCCTGCACATTGCGGGCAGCCCCACCTACTACGTACCGGGACAAGAATACCATGGTAGGTACCGCGCACCTCCGCGCTCGCCGCCCGGCCGCTGCGCCCGCGAGCGCAGCTGCTGATCCTCCTTTCCCTCTGCCAAGGGGCCATTGGAACAGGGACCGGGCAGCCCTTACCCCAACATCGCGTTCTGTGGAGGCACAGAGAACAAAGTTAGTGAGAATCCAGTGGCGAGTTGGGATTTCTTCACAATCCCCGCACCACACACTCCCTCACGCGTCTCCTGATGAGCGGATTCTTGTGAGAAATGCCTGAGAATTTGGGGGTTGGCGTCTTTCTCCTTCACTCCTCGTTCTCGCAGGCGACACGTTGAATGACTTCGCGCATCTTGTTTTCTTAACCCCAGCTCTCGGATTCCAGACCTTTGTCCCTTTCCCGTTCCCCCTGAAGGGTACCCTGGTGGCTGTGGGGCTGGCGCTGGGCTTTGCTGACCGTCTGGTGACAGATTGACGCGCCTCGGTCCGCGACTGCCCCGCGCCGTCGCCTGCCGGCTGCAAAGTTCCCGCTGCTCATCAGCCAGAGATCCCTCTCATTTCATTCAGGCAGTCCTCCTGAAACGTAGCGGCTGCTTCCAGCTCTCTATTCTTTTTCAAGTGCCATTTAAAATGTCAGTAATTGATGTTTTTTTTTTTTTTTGATGACTCTTACTTTTCACATGCTGCTTGTTTTTAGAATGATCTCTGGGTTGTTTATTAGTGACTGTCTTTTTATCTGCACAGCCTTCATTTCCAGGTAGGGGTTGTAAGCCCCTAATAATTTAAAGGTACCTTTTTTAAAAGGACCATTATGGAGTTCTTCATCACAACTAAACGTTACTGAAGAAGCAAAATTTAGCTCCAGAAATATAATTTTATGCAATGTATGCATTTCGACTATCTTAAGCTAGTAAACGAGTATGTGGGAAAATAAGATTTTTTTTCTGTTACTTCCGCTGGAACGTCTGAATATTTCACTTACATGGAGCTTTCAAGCCGTGACAGGCACTATTTAATGAGAATTTCAAGGCAAAAATACTTATACCCAACCTAATAGAAACTATCATCTAGTAATCTCATATTACAGTTTCGATCTCTTGTAGGCTAACGATTATTGACATAGCAGGAGATAAGCCATGGAGCAGTTGGCATTTCAGATAAACCTGCATGTAAAAATGATAAGAGTCCCTAAGTTTTCTATTAAAAACCCCTTCATATCTGCTTGTGAATATTCAGCCTAAATAAATGCTTTCTAGAGGTTTAAAACACTGGTTTAACAACTTTCTTGTGGCATGGTGGCAGCCTTGTCTGTAAAGAAGGAGTCTAATTTGGTGGAATTTTAGCTTTGGATAATTAATTTCTGTAACTAGTCCCTTCTATAATAAAAATGCCGACCTCGTTCTTTTCCAAGAACAATCTGGTGTTTGTCTGAGGCCATGACAATCTAAGTGGAAGGACTAGCCAATATGATGGTAACCCAGACCTCACCCAAAGACTGATTGACTCAGCCTGTCGACTTGGTGTGACCCTTAGCAAAGGTGCCTGCCTGTTTTTAGTTCTGAGAGAGAGTGGTAGGTTAGTGAGCCAATGGGCCAAAAGGTATGACTGTCAGGTTGTGATGGAAGACCATGCGATAGTACAAAGCCTTCTTTATTTATCTGTTTCAATATCCTTTGTAAGGTGCCGGCATAGACTTAAAAATACCAAAATATGACACATCCTTTGCTTTTGCTATAAAGCTAGCAAATATAAATCAGTCTAAGATTGACCATAAGCACATACCTAAGTCTGAAAAGGAAAGAATAATACAGAGTAAGAATAAAGTATAATACTTCAAGTTGGACATGGGGCTGGGGGTGCAGCAGGGCAAGTCTCAATTTCTACCTCTTTTCTGCCACCAGAAGAGGTGGAGAAATTTTATTTTCTAAATTTAAGAAGATAACATTATTATAAGCTTTGAGAATAGTTTATATCAGATTTTAAATTCCTGTAACTGTTTTGTCAAATATACAGATTCTGGAACTGGCTGTATCTACAGGCCCTAGTAAGAGTTTTTCCCTATAAGATGATCTACAGTTAAAAGAAATGTTTGAAAATGAAATGATGCTCACATGTGTCTCTTTTTCTTTTAGATTTTTGAAAATTAATGTTAAAAATTATATAGCATCTTTAAGAATTGAACTGATCAGAAACTTAAATGTATGTTTGTGTTTAGCTCATTTTATACCATACTAAAACATAAGGTCATTTGCCCAAAATTTTTTAAAGGTAATAAATCGGCAAAATATTACCTTGATATTTCATTCCTAACCAAATAAATCTTTAAAATGTAACAGTTATGTCAGGAAAAATCCATCTTATCTACGATTTACATTGAACTCAACATTTGGAGGAATTATGTTGGGTTCAGCTGATGGTTGTCACTTTTTGACCTACAATAATGCATTGAGATAGAGGGTGGTATGTACAATGACACCTAACACAGGACATTACTGCACCTTAGACTGTGTCAGCTGCCCTCTGAGGCTTGTACTGTGTGACAGAGCTCTGAATGTGAAATGGGAGAGGGGGGCAAATATCAATCTAGTATAAAAGTGGTTCAAAATTATGGGTCTCTGTATATGTCATATTAAAGACTTCTCTTGAAAATCTTCTGAAAAAAAAATATACTACTAAAGAATCTGAAGCTTGTGTGCCCAACAGAATTGCCCATGTTTCCAGCTTCAAGTAGTATATCCATCTATTTGCAGTTTCAGCAACTCTGTAAACAGTGCATGGTTACTTCTGCTAGTTTTTATATTTTTAATGAAAAGGTGTCACTCAAGTACCTCTGTTTCATCTTCCTATATCTTTTAAACTTTGTTGTCTATGACTGTTGATATGGCACCATAAGTCACAATGAACTCTGGTGTCTTTGTGTGAGCACACCACAGTGCAGAACTCAGCAAAAAGGGGCTCTCATATACATCATGTTGAATTAGAAAGGTCTCAGGATCAGAAATTAGAATTTCTTTCTTAGAATTTCTCTTTTTTTGCACATGACCCAAAATAGGGTCAATGTTGCAACATGGTTTCCAGGCCCGGGCCTGTTTTTTTTTTTTTTGTATAAGTTGCAAATGATGGGAAAATAGGAAATGGAAACATAAATGGTCCTGTCAGGTAGCCATTTCTCTTTTCCAGCCATGCCCGGTGATTCGCTGCTCCTTCGTCTAGGGGCCAAGGCAGTATTGTGAAACCTACAAAGGCTTGGTTGATATCTGCACCTTTCCTTTCTCAATTTAATCCCTCTTCTTCACCCCCTGCCCTCAGGGGTTACCCACTTTTTTGTTGGCAGACCCTCTTCTCCAACTGATTTATAGTTAATATGACTTGTCCATATTAAATTCTCCCACAGTCTTGATGACAACTGTGCAAAGATGTTCTCCTCTTTTTGTTTCAAAGAATTTTGGCATCACTCAGTAGGCATAATATATTTTGGGATAGAAAGACTTTTTAGATACCCCTGAAATCATGTGAGTACCTTCCTACTCATAAGATTGTTTTTTGCCCAGTCACCATCAGAAAGGAGAGGTTATACATTAGAAAAAAAGTTGTGAAGACCAAGCACAGTTAAATGAGTCTGTGAAAGTGCTTTAGCTTTGGTGAGACAATTATATGGATTCCATAATAGACTAGAATCCCTGTTATTACAATGGCATAAGGTGGGGAAAGTGTCCCATTGCAGTGAAAAATATGCTCTAAAATATTGATTGAGGGGAAAGAATTTAGTCATAGACAGAACTGAATTGGTAATATGGCATGATGCTTTAAAAGGGGGACTTTATTGTATTTTGTAAATTCAGTGTCACTATTGATAGTTCCTTCATGCAACATTTCTTTTCCATTGTTTATTTAATCCTCTGTGAGGTAGGTGAGAAAATCAACTCCTACTGCTAAAAAACCAGGATTACGTATTTAGGGCACTGCGTTATAACAATTGCCAGTATTACTATTATAAGTATGTGTATTCTGGAATCAACTGGTTGCAATATTTTAAAAAATTGCTGTTCAAAGGCAGTGCAATGTAATGACTTCTCAAATACCAGAATGATATATATATCAGACATAATTTTTGATAATATACCCCAGATTAAATTCTTTTCAAGGATATTATTTTATTATTTGAATTAAAATAACCTGCCATTGCTAAGGTAACTGTGTTGTTCATCAGGTATGTGGTTATATTGTTCTTTATATGTCTCAGATTCTGGAATCAGCATTTTGAAACTCTCAGACTCATTTGTTAAATATAATTTATAAGTGAATTTATACAGCTGTGTCCTGCTTGTATGACTATGAAAACTGAGCATTTAAAAGCATTTTGCTCTATTTGTCATATATTTCATCTTCCTCTCTACAATCTATTTCAGACATCTTTTACCATGGTTCAGATTGTTTCTTAAATCATATGTCTTGCTTTAACATGTGTTCCCTATTGAGTTTCAATTCCAAGGATAAACTAAAAAAAAAATCAGGTCTTTAGAATCGTATTTGAAAGCCTCTCATTTAGGCAGACATTCTTACTTCATTTACAGCACAATATTACTACAAGTTATTTAATTAGAATATTTCTCTCCAGTTTTCATGACTTTATTTTAAACTATTTTCATTAAAAATGTTAAAGAATAAATGAGAAAGTTGTACCATTGTGATCACATATTTTTTATGTGAATAATAATTCTTATTAAAATAAGAATTGTCTTATTCTAATACATTTTCCTTTTCATCTTTAAAAAGTAGGTGATAGGAAGTTTGATAAGAATTCAAAGTCAATACCATTGACTTTCAAATTGTTTCATAAATTAGTTTCTTTCAAAAGAAAATATATAAAATTGATCTTTGATATATTTTTTCCCCTCTCTGGAATTGGTTAATTTTATAGAATGATCTGGGAACTTTACATTACCAATTATTTAGGATATGTTGCATATTAAGCCATAATTGTTCTGATTATTTCAAACGCTATTTTGACAAATTTATTGGTTC